CTGGGGCTCACAGCCTGGGCTGTTTGTATGAGCTCCATCAAAGCTCCACCACGAGTGACCAAGATCTGGTGAGGAGGATTCACCATCACCCCAGACAGTGTCACTCAAAGTGTCATCCCAAACAGCACTGCCCCAAAGCACCATCACCTCAGAACACCGTTATCCTAAAGCCCAAAAACTGTTACCCCAAAGCACTCTGACCCTGAAAGTTACCCCAAAGAACCATCATCCCAAACACCACTGCCCCAAAGAACCATCATCCCAAACACCATTGCCCCAAAGCACCATCATCCCAAACACCATTGCCCCAAAGAACCATCATCCTAAACACCATTGCCCCAAAGCACCATCACCCTAAAATACCATCACCCCAAAACACCATCACCCTAAAACAATCACCCCAAACACCATCTCCCCAAAAAACCACCAGTCCAAACACCATTAGCCCAAAATGTGTCACTCAAAGCACCCCCACCCCAAACACCATTGCCCCAAAGCACCATCACCTCAGAACACCATTATCCTAAAGCCCAAAACACCGTTACCCCAAAGCACTCTGACCCTGAAAGTTACCCCAAAGCACCATCATCCCAAACACCACTGCCCCAAAGAACCATCATCCCAAACACCATTGCCCCAAAGCACCATCATCCCAAACACCATTGCCCCAAAGCACCATCACCTCAGAACACCATTATCCTAAAGCCCAAAACACCGTTACCCCAAAGCACTCTGACCCTGAAAGAGTTGCCCCAAAGCACCATCATCCTAAAACACCATTGCCCCAAAGAACCATCATCCCAAAACACTGTAACCCCAAACACCATCACCCCGAAACAATCACCCCAAACACCGCTCAGCCCAAAACATCATTATCCTAAAATATCCTTACCCCAAACGCTGCCACCCCAAAACAGTCACTCAAAGCACCACCATCCCAAATCACCACCACCCCAAACACCACTGCCCAAAAGCACCACCATCCCAAACCACCACCTCCCCAAACACCACAGCCCAAAAGCACCATCACCCCAAACCACCACCACCCCAAACACCACGGCCTCAAAGCAGCACCACTCTAAAACAGTCCCCTCAGAGCACCATCACCCCAAAACCCCGTCCCCACCCCAAAGCTGCCACCCCAAGCCCCCCAGCCCTGCTCACCACGTCGATCTCGGT